CCCAAAAATTAAAGACAAAGAGAGAATCTAAAGGCAGAGGAGAAGAGCAATTTGTTACCTACAAAGGAGCTCCAATAAGGCTATCATCTGATCTCTCATCAGAGAGACCAGAAGGAAATGGCATGAAGTTTTCAAGGTCATGGAAAGCAAGGATCTGAAACCAAGATTACTATATCCAGCAAAGCTATTATTCAAAATAGACTGTGAAATAAAGATCTTCCCAGACAAAAAATAGGCTAAAGGAGTTCATCACCACCAATCCAGCATTACAAGACATAATAAAGGGACTGCTATAATGAGAAGAAATAGAGAGAGAAACCTAGGTATACAGAATTAATATGGCAATAAATATGTACCTATTCTATATAATAAAGAGCTAATATGCTAATTAGACCAGACAGTGGAACAACCTTCTGGACTATTTTCCAGAATGACCAGTGGGCAGGGCCATGGGGGGCTGAGGCAGCTGGGGATCTGAGGGCTGAGGCAGCTGGGGCTACGAGGGCTGAGCCCCTTGCACGAATTTCTTGCATCAGGCCTCTAGTCAATAATAATTTTAAATGTAAATGCTCCAGTCAAAAGACATAGGGTAGCTGAATGGATACAAAAACCTCAGAACAAAAGACTCACACAGGATAAGAGTGAAGGGATGAAAAATTTTTTTCCATGCAAATGGAAATGATAGCTGTTATAGTAATGCTCATATCTAACAAAATAGACTTACAAATGAAGGCCATCACAAGAGACAACAAAGGTCACTACATAATACTAAAGGGATAGATCCAACAAGAGGATATAACCCTGGTAAACATAGATGCATCCTATATAGGAGCACCTAAACATATAGAAAAAAACTTCTAGAGGACTTTAAGGGAGAGATTAACAACAATACCGTCATAGTAGGGGACTTTTGCACCCAACTGACTTCACTAGATAGATATTCCAGAACAAAAATTAACAAGTAAACAGTGACTCTAAAGGACTCACTGGATCAGATGGACTTAATTAATACTTATAGAACATTTCACTCCAAAGCTGCAGAATATACATTCTTCACAAGTGCCCATGGGTGATTGTGATTCTCAAAGATAGACCACTAAGACAGAACAGAAAGTAAGTCTCTACAAGTTCAACAAGATTAAAATCATATCAAGCATCTTCTCAGATCATAGTGAAATAGAATTAGAAATCAACTATAGTAAAAACACTCAAAAACATTCAATCACATGGAGGCTAAATAGCATGTTATTAAACAATGAATGGGCTACTGATGAGATCAAGAAAGAAACCAAGAACTTCCTGGAAACAAATGAAAATGAACACACAATAACACCAAATCTCTGGGACACAGCAAAAGCAGTCCTGAGAGGAAAGTTCATAGCACAACAGGCCTACCTCTAAAAACAAGAAAAATTAACAATAAACTATTTAACCCTACCACTTAAAGAATTAGAAATTGAACAAGAAAAGCCCAAAGTAAGTAGAAGGAAGGATATAATAAAGATTAGAGCAGAATTAAATGATAGAGAAAAAAATACAAAAAAATCAATGAAACCAAGAGCTAATTCTTTGAAAGGATAAACAAGATTGCTGAACCATTAGCCAATCTCATCAAGAAAAAAAGAGAGAGGACCCAAATAAATAAAATCAGAAACAAAAGCAGGAAATAACCACTGACACCACAGAAGTACAAAGGATTTTAAGAAAATACTATGAGGAACTATATGCCAACAAGCTGGACAATGTGGATGAAATGAACAAATTACTAGACGCAAACAATCTTCCAAAACTGAATCAGGAAGAATCATAAAACCTGAATAGGCCAGTAAAAACTGATGAAATAGAAGCAGTAATAAAAGAACTTCCAGGAAACAAAAGCCTGTGTTTGCATGGCTTTGCAGGGGAGTTTTACCAAACATTCAAAAAAGAACTAACACCTATACTCCTCAAACTATTCAAAAAAATCCAAGAGGAAGGAACACTTTCAAGCCCTTTTTATGAGGCTAGCATTATCCTAATTCCAAAACCAGATAAAGACACTACAAAAAAGAGAATTACAGACCAAAATTCCTGATCAATGTAGATGCTAAAATCCTCAACAAAATATTAGCAAGTTGGACCCAGAAATATATTAAAAAGATCATACACCATGACCAAGTGGGATTTATTCCAGGAATGCAAGGCTGGTACAATATTCGCAAATCAATAAATGTGATACATCACTTAAATAAATTGAAAGACAAAAACCACATGATCATTGCACTAACCGGTTTGGCTCAGTGGATAGAGCATTGGCCTGTGGACTGAAGGGTCCCAGGTTCGATTCCGGTCAAGGGCATGTACCTTGGTTGCGGGCACATCCCAGTAGTGGGTGTGCAGGAGGCAGCTGATTGATGTTTCTCTCTTATCGATGTTTCTAACTCTCTATCCCTCTCCCTTCCTCTCTGTAAAAAATCAATAAAATACATTAAAAACACACACACATGATCACATCAATAGATGCAGAAAAAGCAGTCGACAAAATCCAACATCTATTTTTTATAAAAACTCTCAGCAAGTGGGAATAGATGGAGTATACCTCAACATGATAAAGGCCATATATGATAAATCTACAGCAAACATAATTCTCAATGGGCAAAAAGTATAACCATTTCTCCTAAGAATAGGAATAAGACATAGTACTGGTCATCCTAGCTACAGCGATCAGACAAGAAGAAGAAATAAAAGGCATAAATTGGAAAGAGGAAGTAAAACTCTCAATATTCATAGATGACAGAATATTATACATCGAAAGCCCTAAAGACTCCACCATAAAACTATTAGATTTAATAAATGAAGTTGGCAATGTAGCAGGATACAAAATCAACACCCAGAAATCTATGTGTTTTTTTTATACATCAATAATAAATTCTCAGAAAGAGAAACTAAACAAACAATCCCATTTACCATTGCAACAACAACAAAAAATTAAGATAGGGATAAACTAAATAAAGGAGGTAAAAGGTTTGTTCTTTGAAAACTACAGGACGTTGAAAAAAGAGATAGAGGAAGATATAAACAAGTGGAAGAATATTCTGTGTTCATGGATTGGTAGAATTAACATCATTAAAATGTCCATACTACCCAAGGCAATCTACAGATTCAATGCAATCCCTATTAAAATACCAACAGCATACTTCACATCTAGAACAAACACTCCAAAAATTTACATGTAATCAAAAAATCCCTGAATAGCTGCATCAATCTTGAGAAAAAAGATTAAAATTGGAGGAATCACAATACCAGATATCAAGTTATACTACAATGCCACTGTAATAAAAACAGCCTGGTACTGGCCCAAGAACAGGCATATAGCTCAATGGAACAGAACAGAGACTCCAGAAATCTACCCAAGCCATTACATTCAATTAATATTTGACAAAGGAGTCAAGAGCATACAATGGAGTCAAGACAGTCTCTTCAATAAATAGTGTTGGGAAAATTGGACAGATACATGCTAAAAAATGAAACTAGACCACCAACTTACACCATACCTAAGAGTAAACTCAAAATGGATAAAAGACTTAAATGTAAGTCAGGAAACCACAAAAACCCTAGAAGAAACCATAGACAGCAATAATCTCAGGCATCTCTCACGGCGATATGTTTATGGATACATCCAGGGCAAAGGGAACTGAGAAGAAAATAAACAAATGGGACTACATGAAAATACAAAGCTTCTGCACAGCAAAAGAAACCATCAGCAAAATGAAAAGGCAGCCCACTGTATGGGACAACATATTTGGCAATGATACATCTGATAAAGGGTTAATATCCAAATATATACGTGGTCATTGCCATTGTATTATTCATATTTATGTTTTCCCCCTCTTATTCTTAAAGAAATTCCCTTAACATTTCTTGTAATACTGGTTTGGTAGTCATGAACTTTTTAAGGTTTTTCTTGTCTGGGAAGTTCTTTATCTCCCCTTTGATTCTAAATGTTAGCCTTGCTGGTTACTCCCCGCCTGCCCCCCTTGATCTTGTTAATCTATTTATTGTTTAGTAGCATGTTATTTAGCCTCCATGTGTTTGTCTGTTTTCCAGTTTTCTTCTTATAATGGATTTCTAGCAATTAGGGAAGATTGTAGGATTTCCAAGCATTGTTATCTGACTGCTTCCAGGACACAGATAGAAGATTTTTTCTATAAAACCGGTTAATGGTCTGGAGGGCTGAAAGCCTCCAAAAAAGCTCCTCATCTCCAGAGGGTCAGAATACAGATGACAATAGGAGGCCCCAGTTGGCCCCTCACCCAGTTGGGTCTTGGCCGTAGGCATGATGGGATGGATCCTTGGGGATTAGAGAGCTGTGTGCTCCCAGGAGCAATTGGAAGGGGTTCCTGCCAATCTGGACAGAGGAACTGGAGGTTCATCTGTGAACCTACAGCACTTGTGACCTACCACGCCCTTTCTTCCTGTCAGGTCCCCTCTCCACGGAACAGTGCAGACCCAATACGGAGATAGTGGCCACTAGAATGTCTTAACAAAACCATCTTTATTCATAATTGACACACAGTGCCCCAAAGGTGCTGCTCCTACCCCCAAACCCAGGCCCACCCCTACCCTAACGGTCCTGCCTTCCATCCCCATTTCTCATGTGAGTAGAACAGCCAGGATCATCCCTGGGGTCGGCCAGGAACTTCCCTGGGATGAGGAGCAGCCCTTGGTTCCACTGGGGGATAGCCAGGTCACAGGAAGCATGCCCTGCAGGTGGCTAGCAGTGGGAGAGACACCCACTGCTCCCTACTGGCTGCAGTGTCACTTAATACTCCTCTCTGTGACAGCCAGGTCACACTTTTTCTTTTGAGGCTGTGAGGTGCAAACCAGCTCCAGAGCCAGTGCTGGCCTCCCACAGATCCCCAGGTTGGCCCCCGGGCAAGGGGTCTTCTCAGCATGGGCGGGGCCTCCCCCCAGAGCACGCTTCCGAGATCTGGAAGCTGCAGGTGAAGCTCGGGTGAGACCTAGTGTTTGAAAAAACTGGGACTGGGCAGCTCCCCGGGGCCCCCGACCTCCAGGGCAGGCAAGGCCTGAGGCAGGGACAGGACTCAGAGAGAGCCCACAGGGCAACAGGCTATTAGGAGAGCCCAAGAGGAAGGCCAAGCTGGGGAGGTCCTCCTCATCCTCACTGGACCTGTCTGGCTCAAGAGTCTCTCTGACAAGAGAGGCCTCTCTGGGGACGCAGGCCTCCCTGGGGCCCAGTGCACAGTCAGCAGGCCCGTGGCCCTGGGGAGCAGAGGGGGGGCATCGAGCCCAGAGTGGTGGGTGCTCCTGACGCCCCGCAGAGATAGCAGAAGCCTGGGGCCTGGGCCGGTGGGCGTCTGCTGGGCCGCGCCTTTGCTGGTCCTTGAAGTCAGTCTCTGGTGGGCAGGCTTTGTCACTGACCCCCAGCTGGGGGCCACGGTCACACCTCTGGGCATCTTGGCCGATCTCAGACTCAGAAGAACTTGAGTTCAACAGGGGAGCACCGTGACTTGAGGGTGCCTGCACGCCCCCCTCCTTGGAGGCCAGGAGTCGCTTCTCTACCAGCTGGGAAGAAGAAGGGACAGTGAGCTGGCGCTGCACACGTGTGTGTGAGAGGAGGAGGAATGTGGGTGATGGGACAATAGCACTGGGGGGAGGAGGGGGGAGGTGACACCATGACTTAAATCCATGACAGCTATGTGGCTCTCCTCCGTCCCCTGTGCCATATTCCCAGCTTAGTGTCCCCTCCCCTTCTGGGCTCCCACCCCCTCCTCTCTGTTGTCCTCTCCTTCTTGTTGTCCTGCCCTGCTCCCACCCAGGGCTGGCCCCTCGGTGCCTACAGGCAGGGGTGGCATGGACAGAGGCCTGTGTGTCCTGGTTCTGGGTTTCTCCCTGCCCTGGTTTACCTGAGTGCACCCTCCCCTGGCTCCCCTGAACCCCCGATCTACCTGGAGCTCCTCCCTCCTTGACTCTCCAGAGCCAGTCCCTCCTCTAACTATCCTGGGGTCCCTGGGTCCTATGGCTCACTTGGAGTCCCCCTTCCGTCTCCCTAAGGTCCCACCCTCCCCTGGCTCACCTGGGCAGCAGTGAGCCCTTCTTCCTGCTCCAACTCCTCAGCTAGGGCCAAGGGATCCTGCTGTGCGTCTGGGGAAATTATTTGTTCCATGAATTGGGGGTGAATGACCGCCTCCACCTGGGACAGAGGAAGCGGCTGTGAGCCCCTTGGCAGGGAGCAAACTGGGAGTCAGCGGGGCCTGGAGCACAAGTGGGAAAGCCAAGACCCACCCGTCCTCCTGCTCAGGGGGGTGTTTTACTCCATCATGATCATCAGGTGCACACACACACACACACACACACACATGCACATACACACACACAGGGGTACACACACATGAACACAGCACACACACCACACCCACACAAAGCGCACACATGCACACAGACACACACACTCTCACACGCCCAGCTCAGGAACAAAGAGCAGAGCCCAATCCCATCAGCCTGGGAGAACCCGGGTCTGGGTGCCGCAGCGCCTCCCTCTGGGACCGTATAGACCCGGAGCTGCCAGCCAGCCCACCTGGGTGACAAAGTCTTCCTGGGAGCACAGCTGGTCCAGGTAGCTCAGGAGACCCTCGTCCTGCAGCCACTCCTTTACTTCATCTTCCCATCCTCCCCCTGGCGCCTCTGCGGCTGAGTGCGGCAGTCCCAGCAGATTGTCCATGATGTCCATGTACTCTCTCACGGCCTCCGGGGGGATCTCATTGGGTGACTTTGTCTCCTGGGGCCGTTGGTGTCTTCGGATGGGCTGGGCACTGGGTAAGGCCTTCCTGGGAGTGCACGCTGGGCAGAGAGGGAAGAGGAGGGAGGGTGAGGGGATAAAGCTCCCACCTCAGGAGCATGCGCTGCTGAGGGCAGTACTGGGGGCATTAATATGGGTGTGGCTGGATCGGGGTCACCTAAAGCCTGGTGACTACTAGCATGTGAGGAGAGAGGCCAGAGGAGAGCATCCAAGAGAGTCATGTGTGAGGACGTGTGGAGCCACCGAATCTCCAAGGGGCCCCGCAGCCAGCCGGCTTCTCAGCAGACTTCATGTGGGGCCTTTGACAGGGAGCGGGGAGAGGGGATGGGAAAGTGGACCAGGTCCAGACCCCATGGGGACAAAGGGTCAGAGGCCCGACTCTCAGGGCTGTTCCCCTTGAAAGACCAAAGCCCCCCTGAAGGAGAAGGGCTGGTGTGGGTGGGGGCAGTGGCCTGCCCTAAGCCCTTTGGCCATGGGCTCCTGTGGGAATGTGCTGGCCTACCTGGCTGCCCGTCCACCACTGGGGCTGGGGGCCCCCGAGGATCAGGTCTCGGTGGGGCAGGAGGAGGCTGGGTCTGAACCCCCTTCTTCAACTGCAACTTCTGAAACTGCATCTGCTCCTCTGCCTCAAACTCCATGAACCTGGGGGTGAGGGGGGCACAGCTGTGCCGAGAAGGAGGCCGCCGGGAGCCCAGAAAGGCAGCAGCGGGTGGAGGGATGGGAGAGCCAGTGCCTTGGGGCTGTCAGGGCCCGGACACTGGGGAGGCAAGAGGCTGGCTGAGCACATTCCTGCACAGCCCCTCTGGCTGGAGTCTGCCCACTGGCCGTTGCACCTTCTCCCCAGCCTGTCCTGAGCCTTCATGTCCAGCCCAGGAAGGGTCAGGGTCAGAGGAGTGGGGAGCTCCCAGGAGGCGGGACAGAAGCACCCACACTCTGAAGCTGAGGGAGAGGCTTCCCAGGAGTGAAGGGCCTCTGGGCTGCGGGGCTGAGTGACACCCTCCCACCACCCTCCTCTCTGATGGGACCTCACAGCTGGACCCTGCCCCTCAGGCAGCCCCCTACACACACACAGCTGTGGGGACCAAGGACCCTGACTCACTTTTCTGCCATCTCATAATAGATCATCCGGTCAAAGTTGCTCTTGCGCTGCCATTCCTGCATGGCCCGCCACATTCCCTCCTCCAGCGTCATGGTGGGCCTCAGGCGGGACAGGGACCGGAGCACCGGGCTGCAATGCCTCAGGGTGAGTCATGGCTGCAGCCTGGCCTCCACCCGTCTGCCCACCCCAGCTCAGTGGTGCCAGGTTCCCACCCCCAACCGGTAGGACTGAGCGCCTCAGGTGACGGAGGAGGCGTCTGTGTGCAAAGACAAGCCTTCTAGCTGCTGTTGTCATGGCCTCACATTCACACCAGCCCAGGAACCAGGACTGGAGGTGACCCTGCACTCACACCCATCGCTGGGACACGCGGGCCATGGAGCGCTTCCTCGTCAAGACTGCCCTTTCACAACAATAACCCTGTCCTCAGGGAGACATGGCCTGCGCCAGGCAGCCTGCCGACATGTCTCAGGTTAGCACAGACCATTAGACCAAGGAGCCTTCTCCACATCCCGGAATTAGGTAGAATTGTCCGGTCACGAGGGGCCTGAGGGCGAGAGGAGCTGCCTCTCATGGTTACATCTCCGGGAGTAGGATCAGGGCTCAGGGCGGTGAGCTCAGTTGTTGTAAAACACTAGCGAGGAAGCCATACATGCGGCTGGTGATGCGTGTGGCTAAGAATGTGCCTTCTGAGAGCAGGGACCCCACCCTCAACCTTCCTGCCAGCGGCCGGGGATCAGCCAGCCTGCAGGTCCCTCCCAGCTCCTCTTTGAGTGAAAGCTCCAGGTGTCCCCTGCCCTGCCCAGGGCACTCACATGAGGAAGCAGGACAGAGCTTCCGCATCAGGACTCTGGGGAAGGTGCCTCCGGGCCAGGGCCTTGAAGCGCTGCCAACGTCGGAAATTTTTGTACACACTGTTGGGGTTGCAGGAGTCATCCGGAGAGGTCTTGGACTGGGAGGTGGCCAGGCCACCCTTCCTCAAAGCCCCAGCATTCACTGAGGGGACGATGGGGGCCAGCTGGGCAGCTGGTGGTGGAGCTTGAGGAGGAAGGCTGGGACACCAGCCTCCATCGCTGGCCTGGGTGCCCCCAAAAGCCGAGGCGGGCATAATCGTCTCCACCGCAGAGGCTTCCAAGAAGAGGGGTGCAGGACACACAGCACCCCCACAAGTGGTCCCTGGAGCATTCCAGTTGGGTGGGGCCTGAGTCAGGACAATGGTCTGAGTCTGGGAGGGCTGTGGTCGTCCCCCTTCTGACCTGACCTGGTCCATGATGTTACAGGCCCCAGGCCCAAGGGGGCCTTGATCAGCATCTCCTGCCACCAGAGGTGTCTTGGGCAAAGCAGGCAACACCAGGGGGCTGCCAGGAGGGAATGACGGGGTCCTGAGGGGCGGCAGGTGCTGCTCCCCAGGTGGCCGGTGGGCGGGGCCAGTAGTGGGCTGGGGAAAGGGCTGTGCCATGAAAGGAGTCACGGAGGCACCAGGCTTCAGGGTCACATCCGCTCCCAGCACTGCAGATGCTGTTGAGACAAAGGAAAGGGTGAAGGGAGGAGGAGAACCAGCAAACAGCACTGAGGCGCTCTGGGCCCCCTGTAGCTACTGGGGAATCAGAGCAGTGAGTCTCCCAGGGGAGGGCCATTGGGATGGGCAAACTGCGGAGGTGGCACATGTCCTCAGGTCATTGTCACGCTCTGACCTCCAGTTGGGATTTATTCCACTGGAGAGCCTGCTCCCCATCTCCAAGGCTCCCTGACCACAGTCTGCGAGAAGAAACCACCCCAGCCAGCGCTGACCCTGAGAGCCGCCCTAAGGATTCCCTGGCACCGAACCTGCCAGCCTCAGGGCATGGCCCTGGGCAGAAATCTGTTCTGGGGGAAATGACCCCAGGGAGACCCACTCCCGTAGTGACCTCCAAGGTAAGTTCTAGGCACCCAAAGGGCCTCTGAGAACAGGCCGTGTCTAAAATATTAGGGCCCCATCTGCTCCTCAGTCTTCCCTTTTCTCAATACAAATCACCCCCTTTCTGTCCTGGGCTTGCACAACAACACAGAAACACTTAAGTAATGACTCTCCACAAGAAGGCACAGGAACCCTGATCTGACCCTTGAACGCACTGACCAGCATGCACATGTGTGTCAGAACCAACAGTGAACACTCAACACGGGCCAGGTCCTGCTACTCAGCCCCAGTGCTCAGACTAATGGCCCCTCAGGAGCTTGTCACTTCACAGCCAGCAATGGCTGCAGAGGGTTAGAGAAGGGCCAAGGAATGCGGCAAAGTGGGGCTGTCGGTAGGGGTTTCCAGAAACTTCCATAGCTGCTGTCCTGTTAGATGGGTCATGGGACTGCAGACTGTGTGAGGTTCTTCTCCTTCCAGCTCCCAACAGTGGAAAGTGAAGGCCAGTAGGAAGCAGGTGTGAGCCGGTGACAGTGGGACACAGTTGTCTGAACACGTCCCTGCTCTGAGGAACTCGAGCAGACCTAGTCCAGGAGAGCACGCTGCATACCGCGTGCCCCTAATTCCTCAGGACAGGCGGCCTCGGACGTTTACTACTGACACAGACCATGGTCTTCCTGCCCCTGTGCACTCCCCTTCCCCCTTAAAAATGAATCCACCTTCGCAGACGTTCCACGGGACACCACCCATGCTCCACACCTGTTTTCTGTCCCTGAAGCAGGGACGTGGCCTATGAGCAAATCTCTCATCTCACAGGTAAAGGGCAGGGCAGAGGGTGCGCCATGAGATGCTCGACAAGAGGAAGTCGGTCTGAAGACCTGGGTGGCCACAGGGGCGATGATTAGGGACAGCTCAGGGAGCCGGGCCCTCTCTTGGTGGAAGTTACCCGGCCGCCCTGCCCCTGTAGAATCCAAGCCAACAAGCAGCTCCCTGCGCTGAGGAGGGGCGAGCTCTGGGCCAGAAGGAGGGGAGAAGCTCTGGGCTGCAGCAGTTAGAGGACCTTCCAGCCCAGCCCTCGGGGAGGACATTTCATTGTGTACTTGGCCACAGACAGCCCCACTGGACAGCTTTCTGGCTAAGACCCTCCCACAGCCCCCACTAGCGGTAGTGAACTCAGTTCAAATCCCTTAGAAAGATATTGCGGGACAAGCTCCAGGTGCCCGAAGAACAGCACACAGGACTAGGCTTTCCTGTGACCCTCCCTGTGACACGCCCACGACATCGCCCACTCCTCCCCACACACATGTGAGAGTGGCTTGTCTCCCCTCTGGGAAGAACCCACGTGCCTGCTGCCACCCAGGCATTTCCCTGAGCCACCCTGACCCACCTCTAGGCGCCCTCCTGCCAGTGCCCTCACAGGTTCCCATGGCTCCCAGCCTCCCGGGGTGACAGGTCCTTGGAGGTCCAGTGCTCGCTCCCTCTCCTACTTCAGTTATACCGTGCTTCCCCAGTGTCACAGTTTAACCCCAAGTTTTGAGGGACATCTCCGTGTTTAAAACATCCCCCCTCCAATCTATAGTCTTACCTCCTACTGAAGCCATCCCCCAGGCTCATTCACCGACCACCGCTGCCTCGTAGCCTCCACAATGAGAAAAGTCAAGTTGAGGATCCAGAGAGTGAGCTGCTCCAACAGCTGCTCAGCATCCAGTGGAGGGAAGGTTTGGATTTGAACTGTAGAACGTAGGACTCCAGACGTTCTGCAGCGGGGGAGGGGCCGAGGACCGGTGGGCCGGGGTGGGTGGGGATGGGGGACATTCCATGGAGGGCTCTGATAGGTAGGCAAGAACCCGCAGTTCCTTTCAAATTTAAGAGGCAACACAATTGGTGTGTGCCTCTTAGGCACTGCATACTTTGGTGTTTTTAGATTCACAGCACAAAGTCTTTACCTGATGTGCCCTTATCGCCTTTCTTGATCCATCGCCCTAGTTTTGGGTCCCTCAACCTGTTTCCTTTCTGGTCTTGGTTGACTTCAACACAGGCTACACTTTCTGAACAAAATTCAGACCATACAGCCTGAAAAAAATATTCGGAATTTATGGCCGCACGGAACCCAGTGTTTGAAATTAGGATTGACTCAGCAGAGGCAGCATGTTCGGTTGCTGTGTACACATCATTCCTTAGGAAGCAGTCCTGTGGCCCCAAGTTCTGCCCAGTGCTGGGAGCCCTGCAGATGCAGCCGGCCCAGCCTTACAAACCACCCTCTTTGCTCCAGTTCATCAGGGCAAGGCCCTGCAACCTACAGGGCAAGACCAGAAATCACTACTTTTTGTCTCTCAGAGTTTTATGTTCAATGTTTAATTGTTAACCTTTGACTTTAATATAATGTTTTAAACAAGTTATCCCTTTGCGTCGTTCACAGTCAAATTGTGCAAAACGGAAAATGCAGTGAGGAGTCTCTCCTGCTTCCTGCCCCTCTGAGCACAGTCTTCCAAAGGATGCCAATGTTGTCTGTTTCCTTTCAATCTCCCCAGAGATGTATCATGCAACCGAAAACAAATGCATGCTATTTTCATCTTTACAAAACGCTCTCGGCTTTTTCTTCTGGTTAAAAATTAATACATGTTCCAATATATTTATTTTATATGTAATATTATTTATATATACTACAGTGATTGTCTTTGTACTGGTAACATGGTTCCTCTTTATTTCTGGAGGCTAGATTCTTAGAACAAGCAGTTCTACAGTCCCTTAAAATTCAAAGTACATGAAAGAATAGGTGGCCAGATTTAGCAAATAATGGATGCACACTTGAACTTGATTTTAAGATACACAATGAATTAGTTTTTAGGAAAATTGTGTCCCATGCAATATTTGGGACATGCCTCTATTGTAAATTTGTTTGCTGTTTTCTGAAATTTAAATTTTACTGGTATCCTGTGTTTCTCTGGCAACTCTATCAAACAAGCAACTTATTACGATATTATTAGTTACTCACCTCTGTAAGAAGAACTCCGAATAAAGAGACTCAAGTGTGCATCTTGGCTTCACCACAAAACACAATTGCACATACACGTGACATATGCACACTCTTTGGAGGATATGGAATTTGTGAGAGCCGTCTAGGCTCAGTGGGGTTAAGGATAGAAATAACAGACAGGAGACAAAAATTCTGCTTTCACAAATTAATGGGGTTAACACCCTAAGGTCCTGATTTTCTAGGTGTTAAAATGCACTACACATGAGGTGGATGTGCACTCTGAGAGGAAGCCAGAATTCTATTCACCATGTCCAACCCCCATTCATAAAAAACTATACCCACCTAAGTCCTAGCTTGCCAGTGTGAGCCTAGACACCCAGCTCATTGGTTTTCAAATGGTCTCTTTGCATCATATACCCTTGCTCTTTGGAATCTAGGCTCATCATACCATGTGGTCCCATCTGCATGTGAATCATGGTCACACCCCTTAAAACACTTGGTGGTTCTTATTTTCATATTGTGCACAAATGTCAGTTTATCACTATCCAAATGATATGAACAAGCATTTGTGTTTTTTGAGAGGAGAGGATTGTTAGGAAATTGATCAAGGGAGATGAGGGGTCACAACTTTGGAGGATTTCAACTAAATCTCTTGGGAGTCAATCTTCACTCCAGCGATAGCAGTAGAATTCCTACTGATGGTAGGGTGTTAGGGAAGAGAGGAGAGGCTTAGAAGGTAGTTCCACACCATGAAAATTCATTAAAAAAGAACCCTCCTGTTGGCACTTAAGAAGTTCCTCGCTGCCTGCAAGGAAAAATTGACTCAAAAGAAGCTGAGATGAGATAAGAGCAATTCAATCAAATTTATGGTGGACTTTATTTCAAAAAAACTACTGGGGATTGAAAAAAAGGAACAACTTGAAGATATTTATCAGGAATTGAGCTTTTTATCTTGGAGGTAACCTTAAATGACTTTCAACCAATAACTTTATATTAGAGGGATGGTGAGGAAAATATGGTCCTCGGTTACTCAGAAAAGGCAGGCTTCCTTGTTGCTTCTTCCCCTTGTCCATTCATTGAACCAATTATGTACAAGATTCTCACTCATGCTTTGATAGGCTTTTAATGACTCTTCTGAGGGCCAGTGATATAAAAATTGCATTTGGGAAAAATTACCTGGTTCCAATACTGCAATCACTTTGTACTACATCAAAGTCCTAGGTGCAAGAAGCAGATAGAATCAAATGAGCTCAAAGGTAATCCGGGAGGGCTGGCCATGGAAGGGGTAGTGAAAAGTGCTTTGGGCCATCTCTCTAGGTATTCCTGCAGAAAGGCCAACGGAGGGCATTTAGAGCTGAGAAAGACATCTTCCGGGGATGGATCAAAGCTTCAGAAGACAGCTATCTCCCGCCCAATCGTGCAACCTTGGAAGAATGGCGAGATGCCATGTTTGTGTTTTGTGCAGTTGTGTCTGTGCACTTGGAGACACATAGTGTTGTTAGATATGCGTGGTCTTCAGAGAGACCCCGTGGGGTGGAAATGCTCTATTTTTGCAAACGGCCAGAGGAGGATAGGATGATTTCAGTTCCTTTGGAAAGCATGACAAACTCAGGTCAGTAAGTTGATTGTGCTACTATATATATGTTTTATTACGCTGACACCAGCATATACAACATGTTTCAGGCTGGCCTCTCCCAAACTCTGTTCCGAGAGGGCAGCTAAGTGCATGGAGTGCACGTTTGCAACTTTAACGTCGCAAGTGCTCCCTGCACACACGCTGGGAGGTTCCTGGGAGGAGGACCTGCAGGAGGCCTCACAACGCCCCTCCCTCCCCTCCTTCCTCTCCTGCAGGGACAGCCTGGGCCCTTCCCAGGGTGCCTCGCGCCAGGACGCACGCACGCCCACTGGGGGCGGGACTCTGTCCTGCAACTGCTCCCAGCGTCCGTTGCGGCGGTTGGCTCCCACAGGGGCGCGCATGCGCTAACGGCAGGCGGGTCCCCAACGGCCGCCCAGGCTGCACGCGGGGCCTGGCATGGCGGCCTCCGGAGTCCGTTAGGCAAACGGGGAGGTAAGGGGCGCGCGGCCCCCTCTCCCCTCAGGCGCCCCCTCTTCTCTGTGGTTCTCCCTGTGGACTCTGTGCCCCGGGTCTGTGCTCAGCCCCCACCCTCCCATATTCTGTGTGTTTTCACCGGGAATTGACAGCAACTGGCCGTTGGGGGTCAGTGACGGGGGCCTACACGGCCCAGTGATGCCTGTGAGCGTCCAACTCGGGGTCGGTCTGTGTCCCCCGCTTTCTGAACAGCGCGGCTCCCGGCAGCTCTTCCGCCTCTGACAGCGCTTCTGGTTCCGCAGAAGCTGCTCGTGTCCCTGAAATGAGTGGACGGGGCGGAGCCCCCACTCCCCACAGTCCCGGGGCTCCCTCCTCAGGGCCTCGGCCCGCGGGCAGTAAGCAGTGGTCTGTCTGTCTGTATATTCAAGGTGAGGGAAAAGTGCTGGTGCTTCTTCACAAACACCCAGTACACTACACATGTGCCAACAGATATCCCCATACCTTATGTCCCAGATACGCAGGTGATGCCACACTACCTACATATACATAACCCCACGCTCCCAAATTCCCACACAGAATGAACTCTTCCATCTTGCAGAATACAGAGGCCTACAAACACCACATCAAATGGCACAAACACTGCCGGACACCAGCATATACAACACACACCAGTCCTAAAAATAGTCACAGACCACAAACAGCTACGGTGTCCGTTTGCTGTATATTGGAGAGGAGAGGTGGCATCATGTATTGTTTGAGGGTCTGTATATTCAGGGGTTGGGAATATTTGCATGTGTGTGTGTGTTTCCATAGGCGTGTGAGAATAGTGTATGCATGTCATTGAGAGTTAAAGGCTTGTCAGTGCTTTCGTGTTTTGCATGTATCTATCTGAGAGTGTGGGGTGTATATTCGTGAGTGGTTTGTGGGTGTGTGTATTTGGCACTTGGGAGTGTATCAGGAGGCTTAGGGCCCTCTTTGCATCTGTTCCAGAACGTAATGCTTGCAGAATTTGGTGGTATTGCTTGTATGTGTCCTCTCTGTGTGTGAGGTGGACGTATATGCATTTGATAAGCAGAGGTTGCTGGTGACAGTGTATGTATTTGAGTTCCTGGAGCTCATGGGCTGTATATTCTAGGGAATGTGAGAGTTCACTTTGCGTGTTTGGAAACAAAGAAACTATAGGTTGTGTGTGTGTTCAGGAATCGTGGAGCATGTGTATTTTAGGTCTGTGAGATTGCATATGTATTTTTTTTGGTGTGGCACATGAGAGTCTGTGTGTGTAGGTATTCAGTGTGTATATCTGGGTGGTATGTTGATTGCCCATGTTTGTATTCAGGCCCATGTTGTATGTATATAGTTGTAGGACTAGCATGTGAATATTCAGGGTGATTAGGGTTTGTCTGTAGCAATTTAGGTAATGAGAGGTGGACTATCTGTATATTCAGTGAAGGTGGGGGTAGAAATGTACCTATATGTAAAGTAATTTTTGTTTATACATCTGGGGTGGGAGTTGAGGGTCCTACTCAGTGTGTAAGCGTATTGTGTGGACATATGGTATGAAAAAGGATGGGGTGCGCTGGAACCGGCTCCTGCTAGCTTGAGATAGTCGATGTGCATGTCTCTCCTGGGCTCTGTGTTCATCAGGTGGGTAGCTTGAAATTAGGCATGCTGGGAATATTTGTACCAGGTACTCACCACAAATGCAGTCTTTCCTGCATCCCCCTGAGTGATCAGCATTCACCAGCACCCCACTAGTGTGTGTGTCTAGATGCATGTGTGTGTGAAGCAGGAAAATTTAGGCATCAGTGGGCATATGCATGGGAGGCTACGTGAATTGCAAGTGAGGCATCTGGGGCTGTAGGCCTTGTATGTGTGCATGGACCCTGGTCATTCTGAATCATTGCATTGTCTTAATCAGGTTGGTCCATTCCTTAGGGCCAAAGAATTTCCACAAATGAATTGCCTTTTCATGTAAGTGGGTTCAGGGGTGTCTGTCCTTTAGGCAGGTAGAAACTTTAGCACTTGAATGATCCTGACATCGGGGACCCAGATGAGTGGGCCTGGTAGACAGATAGCCAGGCAGAGTAGAACCTTCACAGGTGTGTTATTGGTGTGACAGGGGGCAGTCAGGAAGTCTTGGGGCTTCCTGGCCAGGAGGTTAGATGGCCAAGGGTTCCCCAGGCAAACTCCCTAAGAATCAGCTGGGCAGCTACAGGCATTGTGGCCCTTCTGGACTATGGCTGGTTGTCAAGGACACCCTTCACATGGGGTCCAGGTGGTGAAAGTCTACAGAGCCTTGTGTCCCTGGGTCCATCTGCCCCAGGGTGGTATCTCAACTAGGTGTGTCACTAGTTCTCAACCCACCTAGCTCCATGGAAACCTCAATCCTTAGGTATAGGAAGGACTTTAGGGGCCAGTGGAGTGACAGGGACCGGGGGAGGGAGGGACTTTGGGCCTGTGGAGGGCTGGAGGCTGAGACCTGAAGGGACTGGGAAGGGTGTTACTCTGATGAGATATTCTCTGACATTCCCAAGCCATTTAGACAGGCTCTCCTTTGTTTTCTGAAGGCTCAGGATGCTTCTCGCACTGACATGAAGCTCATCTCCACCTCACGTTTTACTGAAAGGATGGCATGATCCTCTTTTCTCTATTCCATGTTTAGCTGTACACTCACCAGAGGGAACCACGTGATCACTGTAGCTATCAGCTGACCCCACAGCTGCCTCCTGGCTCCCTTAGTTCCACCGGAGGATTTCTGGGCCTTCCTTCCTTATGGCGAATCTCCTCCTGGCCCGTTCTCGCTCATGGTGAATCCTCTAGCAAAACGTGCCAGCCTCACTTGCTTGAATGCCCCAACAACTGCTTCTCTTGGTACAAGCGGATTCCTAGTGGCTCTCACTGCCCCCTTCACAGCCTACGCCAATAAAATGACAGTGTGTTGCACCGATCATATTGTGGTGTTGGTGGAAACATTTTAAATTTTAAATAAAAATAAAAATGTAGTATAGTGTGTATACAAGGTAAAGTTGTTTGGGGCTTATTTTTTTATTTGCTTGATTTGCTTTTGAAACAGGAAGTCACGGACCCCGAGTTTTAGGGGAGGAGCGGGAATATTTCAGCATCTGAATCAGCACTGAAATATCCCACCAGGCCTGACTGGCATTGCTCAGTGGTGGAACATCAACCGTGAAAAGTGGTCATCGGTTTGATGATTCCTGGTCAAGGCACATGCCCGGGTTGCAGGCTAGATCCTCAGTAGGAGGCATGCAAGAGGCAGCCGATTTCTCTCTCATTGATCTTTTTATCTCTCCCTCTCCATTCCTCTCTCTCTAAAATCAACAAAAACATATTAAAAACAAAGAAAAGAAACCAGCCCAACAGGTGAAATGAACGGAAATGGCTGGAATGGCTGAGGTTGGACAGAGCTGGTTATTCTTGGGCTGATTTTTTTAAAAAATATATTTTATTGATTTTTTACAGAGAGGAAGGGAGAGGGATACAGAGTTAGAAACATCGATAAGAGAGAAACATCGATTCAGCTGCCTCTTGCATGCCCCCTACTGGGGATGTGCCCGCAACCCAGGTACATGCCCTTGACCGGAATCGAACCTGGGACCCTTCAGTCCGCAGGCCGATGCTCTGTCCGCTGAGCCAAACCGGTTAGGGCTGGGCTGATATTTTTTTTAGAGTATATGTCATGGGACATCCCTGCATCCCCCCTTCACTTCATGGACAGAAGGAATCCTCTGCTCTTTTTTTTTTTTTAACTAAATAATAAAAAAATTTTTTAGTCACAGTTGACATTCAATGTTTTATTAGTTTCAGGTGTACAACATGGTGATTAGACATTTATAAAATCTGACACCATTTATAGTTCTTACAATATTATTGCCTATATTCCCTGTGCTGTTCTATACATTCCTGTGACTGTTTCTATAACTGGCAACTTGAACTTCTTAATCCTTCCCCCTTTTCACTCATCCCTCCCAACCTGGCAACCATCAAAATGTTCTCTGTATTTATCAGTTTGTTTCTTTTGTTTGTTTCCTTTGCTTTTTAAATTCCACATAGAAGTGAAATCATAAAGCATTTGTTCTCTGTCTGACTTATTTCACTTAGCATGATGCCCTCTAGGTCCTTTTATGTTGTTGCAAATGGCAGGATTTCACTTATTTTTTCCGGCGCGGTGATGTTGGTATTCCTCTGTCTATATCCACATTTTCTTTATCCATTTGTCTATTGACGGACACGTAGGTTGCCCCCATGTCTTGGCTATTGTAAACAATGCTGCAGTGAACATAGGGAGATACATGCTTTTTCGAATTGGTGTTTTGGGGTTCTTTGGAGTGGAGTTTCCGGGTGCTTCTTTATCTGTGGTAGCCTTTGTTTTAAAGTCTATTTTGTCAGATATAAGTATTGCTACCCTAGCTTTTTCTTTTTTCATTGCATTTGCAGGAAATAACTCTTTCCATCCCTTTACTTTCAGTCTGTCTGTCTTTTCATCTGAAGTGGGTCTCTTATAGGCAGCATATGTATGGTTCTTGTTTTCTTATCCATTTAGCTACCCTATGTTTTTTAATTGGAGCATTCAATACATTTACATTTAAAGTAATTATTGATAGGTATGTAGTTATTGTCATTTTATTATTCATATTTATGTTCTTCTCTCCCCCCTCACCCCCTTCTCAAGGAAGTCTCTTTAAAACTTCTCATAATACAGGTGGTGTGGTGATGAACTCCTTTGGATGTGTCACTGGTGGAAGTAATTGGGTGGTGCTTTGGTGTGGTCCGAAGCCAGCCACTGGGTGTGTTGGTTCTGGGGCCTCTTAGGACAGGCTCTGGTGATGACCAGGCCAGCTGCTGTCTGTGCCTGGCCCGTGATCACCTGGTAGGAGCTATGAAGGGATCTGTGGTTGGTGGCTGCCCA